TAAGGGGGGGTGAGGCAGGGAGGGCGTTTTGCTGGGCTTTTGAAACACCTTGGAAATGATCAGGAACTTAAAATTCAGGGATATAACCTGTATCTCTGGTTATGCGAGGTAGCAATTTTCTGAAATCGCACTCTTTTATTTTTTACTTAAGGGATCTATTTCTAAATTGTCCGAGTTCGCCCCGTCTTCAAGGGCTCTACCCTTCACTCCTGAATCTTCAATGCGTGGGCAGGAGTGATAGGATGCGTTTTGAAGCAGCCAAAGTTGGAGGATCGTATTTTGGTATGATACAGCTACAGAGTGTGCGAAATTAAAGGGAATAAATAAGAATCGGGGCTTTTTGTGGGTTCCCCTATCCGGGGCCCCTGGCATGCGGGGCTGGATGGAGGGAGAGCGCCTCCGAGAGCTAAGGGGGGGGGCGGGGGCGGGGGACCGCGTTTGAAGTTAGGTCGGGCCAGCTGCTGTTCTCCTTAATAACAAGAGGGGAAAGGAGCGAGGGAGGGAGAGATTGAAAGGAGGAGGGAGGGACAGGAGGGGAGGGAAGGGGAGGAGGAACCAGAGAGGGGAGCGCGGCGAGAGGGAGGAGAACTGCCCAGCCAGTTTGCGTCACCGCCTCGCAGAGCAGAAGAGGAGAGCGAGCTGGGGAGAGCGAGACAATTTGGAGGGGAGGAGAGGCAGAGTCGGCAGACCCCGCGGCTCTCCTCTCCACCACCCATCCTTTTCCTCTCTTCTCCCTCGGCTTCCCTCTCTGCCTTTCCCATTCCCCCGAAAACCCCACTTAGCCAAAGCAAGGAGGTCAGGGGAACCCTTTCCCCTCCCCCCCTTCAAAAAACTTTTCCAGTCCGGAGAAAGCAGGGGACCGAGTGGGCACCCAGCTGGCCATGGAGCTGCTGTGCTGCGAGATGGACCGGGTGCGCAGGGCCGTGCCGGACGGCAACCTGCTCCACGATGAGCGCGTTTTGCAGAACTTGCTCACCATCGAGGAGCGCTACCTTCCCCAGTGCTCCTACTTCAAGTGCGTGCAGAAGGACATCCAGCCCTTCATGCGCAGGATGGTGGCCACCTGGATGCTGGAGGTAGGTCTGCGGACGGACGTTCCGTCTGTCCCCACCCGTATCCCCCCCCCCAAGTAGGGGCCCTAAAACTGGGAGAGGATAGCCCCCCCCACACCCGCTCCCGCCTGCCCGCTCCTGTGTTCGAGGTTACCCCGCGCCCTTTGGCGAGACGCGTGGCTTTATTTCAGTTCCTTGCAAGATGCAAGATTAACTGGGGGAGGGGAGGGGAGGAAGGAGGAAAATCTGGGAGAAACGAGGCTGTCTTGGAGTGGGGGTGGGGGAGCATCCGCGCGCGTGTGCACGCATGTGGCTGCTGCTTCCCACCCCCATTCTGACCTGCCCTTTGCGAAGCCCCGGCTGCTTTCGGTGCTGTTAAGAAGAGCCTAGGACGATGAAATCGGGACCTAGAAGTTTTAAAAAAGCAGCCCCCCCAAGGCTAGAGCCAATTCGCCCAAGCCCCGGGTCCCCGCATGTGGTCGCGACTCCGCGTTGGCACCCACGGGGGGGAGGGGAAGGGGGAGAGAGGAGGGAGGAGAGGGACGGGGAATTTAGGAGCCCCGGAAGTCACATTGAAGAAACGTGTGTTTTAGGGGAGACCAAAAGAACCATTTCTTTACCCTTGCTCCAAATCTTTGCCGAGAGCAAGCCGTGTGCCCACGTATGCACAGCTCTGGACCTGCCGTGGTTTCGCCATGTTGCTTTGCAAAACTCGGGTTGGAAAGGCTGGAAAACGTCGCCCGCTCCCCCTCGCACCCCGTTATCGCGGCCACACCACGTCTCCTAGTGCCCTCTCCCCCAGCCCCCATTTCACAGCGGTTACTTACAGTTTGGCTTTCCAGTTTCCTCGGTGCGGAGATTTGGGTGGGGTGGGAAGGGGGGAGGAGGTGTGTGCAGGGGGGATTTGGGGGCACCCCTAAAGAGGATATCGGAGTCCCCGTGCCTCTCCGGCGGCTCCCGGGGCCTCTCGTTCCCCCAGCTCCTCACCACGTCCCCCAGTTTCTGCCCTTGTGGGCCGCAGCCGGACACTCCGGCCGCGGCTCTCACCCCTCCAAGTTTCCCCTCGGGATCCAAAGCCCCAGGGATCGAGAAACGGACCTTTCCGGCACCCGAAACCTCCGTTTTGGGAAGCCTGGATCCTCTTTGGGGTTTTCACGCCAAAAGGGCTTTTCTAGGATATTTCCTCGATTTTTAATTATTTTTTGAAACCGTCCCCCCCTTGCTCCGACTCCTGCCGCCTCGGCTGCGGCGCTCTTCCTCCTCGCTGCCCTCCCCCTCCTTTCCCCACCTCTCCCCACCCACCCCCCCAATAGCGGCGCCTGGACCGCGGGGACCACCCGGGACAATTTTTCCAATTGTCGGGAATGATAGAGTAGAGTCTGGGGGTCCGGATGAGACCAAGAAGAAGACCCCCGGAGCCTCCAGAATATTTTTATTGATTTTTTGAAAAGATGACGAAATCCAAAAAAGAGAGTGAGTGAGTTAGTGAGGGAAGAAGTGAACAGCCAAAGGGAGCGGCGTGAAGCTGCTGCGGCCGCTGCGAATTTCTTTGCCTCCCCCCACCCCCCACCCCCCGTTTTGGATCTTTAGTTTCACCAATTTTTTGGTTTGGTTTGGTTTTTTTTTTTTTTAAGGTTTCAGGAGAATCCCCCAGCACGGATGGGCTATTTAGATTTACCCCAGTTTCCTCATTTTTATTCTTATCACATTCTACTCCCCTCCCCCATCCACAAAAAATTAAAGATTTTTTGTAATTTCTATAAATTATGCTCTTTCTTCTTTTTTTCTTTCTCTTTTCCTGATATTTTCTCCCCCTCCCTCCAACTCTTCTCCGCATTGTAGGTCTGTGAGGAGCAGAAGTGTGAGGAGGAGGTCTTCCCTCTGGCCATGAATTACCTGGACCGCTTCTTGGCTGGGGTTCCAACTCCTAAGACCCACCTTCAGCTCCTGGGTGCTGTTTGCATGTTCCTGGCCTCCAAGCTCAAAGAGACCATCCCGCTGACGGCAGAAAAGTTGTGCATTTATACCGACAACTCCATCAAGCCCCAGGAACTGCTGGTAACGACTGTCCCCTTTCTCCCTCCTTTCGTGCCCCACTCCCAGCTCTCTCCTAGCGCTCTCCTGGTCTCCAAATAAATTCTTAGGATGCAGAATTACCCACCACTGGAATGTGCATACTCACGGGAGATATTTCTTTTAATAAGGTTTTTTGTGTGTCTTCCCACGAACTACTGAGGCTACATCCACAAATAAGGTCTTCATGGAGATTTGTATTGGTGAGATTCATTTGCAGGTGTGTGTGTGTGTGTGTGTGTGTGTGTGTGTAGGGCACACCATGATAATATTTCAATAAAATTCAATCACTGAATTCTGAGAAAACAGTCTGGCTGCGCACATGATAGGAATGTGTCTGCATGATTGGAATGTGTGGTGGTGTGTCCCCTAAGAACTTGAAGTTCAAAGGTAGTGCCTCTGTAGCTATAAAGTCTCAAGATACCTGCACATAGTAGCTGTTCAATAAATACGAGTTCACTGACTTTTGAGCAAAGTCAAAATGTGGCCCCCAGTGGAGGAATCTCAGACGTGAGCTCCTGACTCCAGTGGGGCTGTGACCTCTACAACCACATGGGTCCTATCTTCACTGGTTTTCTACCAGCAAACCCTTTCCCACCTAATCTAACTTTTTTTCCCTGCAGCTTCACACTTAAGATGTCCATGTTGCAGCAGTGGAATGGTAGAGCCGTCCACCTTCAGTGTCTGTCCGCACACCTTTCTCTTCACTGTTTAGAAAAAGGGCCCCCTCCTACCGCCCTTTCCCTTACTGGCAAGGCCTGCACAAAGTCCACAGAGCTGACTGGCTGCTAGGACTGAGCTCTTTGTGAGAGGCCTTCCTTTCTGGAGCTGTGCTGCCATCTAGTGGCAGACATGTGCAAGGGTGGGGGAGGAATTGCCGAGAATGTAGAGGGGCCTGAATGACTTCACCTTTGAACCAGTGCCAGATTTCAGCTGCTTCTGGGTTGGTCCGAGAGGCCCAGAAAGGTGCTTTCTTCTGGGAGATCTGCTTCCTTTAATAATGGTACAAGAGGAGAGATTTATACTCACATTCCCCTGTGAGAAGGAAGGGCTGGAATTTCAAGACATCTCAGAAGACACGGGTTGTTTAGTAGTCTTATCAGGGATTTTGTTCTACCCCAATACCTTCACAGTTTGTAAAGAAAAAAAATTGTTCAAATTGGCAACCAGTTTCTTTTTCTCAAGGGTGGCCAGGAACACTAATCTTCCATATAGTTCATTTGTTTCAACATGATGGTAGACTGAGGTATTCTTTAGGACACCCCAATTTTTCAGGACCAGCCAGGCTAATTTATATTGCTCCAAACAAGTATGCCTTTTCCATTCCTCATCTCTTGATCCCAGAAGTTGAGGTCTTGAGGAGTCCTTGCACTTTACATCTGAGAAAGCTGCGTCTGGGAAGGGAGTGAGCCCAGGTCTGGGGCAGTCAGCACTGCGGAAGCAGGGCTGGCTTGGGTTGCTGCCTGGCAGATGGAAGGGAGTCCGCTCAGCGTTCTCAGGGACAGGAGAGCAGGGTACATGACAGGCTGGGTGCTCCTGTCCCAGTTGATAGGCCCATTTGCCCTCCAACTACACATTTTTAAAGCGTTCTCTTTGGCTTGTTTCCCTTTGAACACAATTCACCAGGAGTATCTCAATAAGGGAGAAAAGCAAGGTTTTTTGCTAGGTGGGCTGCTGGCGAAAGGCCTAAAAGAGACAAGGTTGTATTGTCCCCCTTCAGCATTTGCACTAAGATTCTGTGACCCTGGACAAGCACCTTCACCCGACCCTGAATCACCTCCCAGGTGCACAATGGTGTTGCTAATGACCATCTTGGTCCTTCAGTTTTGATGGCAAAGGCGTATGAAAGGGTGTTCTGGCTGTGTATCATTGCCCCCAAGATTTCTGCATTATGTGTTGAGGGGAAAGTTTTAGCAGAGAGAAAAATGGCAATTTTTGGCACCAACTACAAGCAAGCTAATTGGTTGCCAAGGATTTGGGCCAAGGAACCTTATTTTGAGCTTTATCTGAGTGCATCATTTTTCCGTGAGGATTAAAAAGACTTCAGTGATGGAGACATATACAATAAATTACTACCAAAGGGCCACAATGACCTTGGCAGCATCTTACTGTAGGTTCAGCGTTCTGGGTGGGCAGGCAATAGCATTGCATGGAAGTCAGTGGGGTGGGGGTGGGGAGCTGGAAGGGAAAAGAAATAGAAGAAAGTAGAATCTTGGCAGCCGCTACCTGAGCTCTCATTATTTTCAGTGGAGCCTGACATTTGAAGCATAAGAAGAGCCTTCAGCAACTTCAAAGCTGGAGGAGCACTTTGACAAATGGGAAGCCTTACAATCTAGCAGCGTCCTAATGAGCATCATTAAAACTGTCTGGACCCCAACTCCCAGCCCCAGCAGCACCAGGTCGCCTTTGGGTTTTATACTCTCCTCCCTTCTCCACCAGGAGTGGGAGCTGGTGGTGCTGGGGAAGTTGAAGTGGAACCTGGCCGCAGTCACTCCTCATGACTTCATCGAGCCCATCCTGCGCAGGCTGCCCCAGGACAATGAGAAGTTGCCTCTGATCCGCAAGCATGCCCAGACCTTCATTGCTCTGTGTGCCACCGGTAGGAGCAGGCTGGGGGTGGTGGGGTGCTGAAAAGCCCTTTTAGCCCTTTGGGGAATGGTCAAGGGGAGGCAGACTGGGTTTGGGGTTTGTGGGGAG